AACTTCTATTAATCTAAAATGCTTCCAAAATAATACAGTTACAAAATGATCTAGATTTCTCAACAGAAGTTGCACTAGGTTTTGTGGACAAGTGTTTGACTGATAATAATATTTTCAACTTTTTTTGGAAAGTAAGACTTTTCCCTTATTTCCAAACCAAAAGAAGTGAGGAATGCAATTACAACCTACCAGTATCTTCCATCTTCTTCAGGAGGGGAATAACAAGCACATGGTGATGGAGCACGATGGCAACCAAGCCCTGTAACTCTACCTCCAGACCAAGGTGAATGGCAGGGCAGTCAGTGTTTGAGGACTGGACAAACTGTGCCTTTGGGACCCTTGCAAAGAGAGAACCCAAACAGCCACTATTCTTAGAGAAGTAAAGCAACAGCCATAATTAAGTCACAAGACTGTAACCAAAGAAAATACTGACTCAAATTCAGTAAAATACAAATTAGTCAAAATGTGCTTCAAATCATCACAGAATCTCAAATCTCATACTTAGAGGTGCATACAAAACAACAGCTTAATATTTGTGTATATAGAGGAAATGCTGTATGTTCTTTTTTTTTACAAACAAACAAACCCTCAATTAGTGTTAAGGAGCTGAAACATCTCATTGTTTTACCCTATTTAGATTATACTAGGTAGAGTTCATGTAGATTATATTAGATATATTTCATATATGGTACACTTAAAAGTAATCTTATGAAATTACCTAAGTGGAGTAAAAGGCTGACTTTCAGCAGGTACCTGATTAGAAAGTCAGGAAACACCTGCAAGCTTTCTGTCCCGCTCTTACTGAGGAGTGGGCCGTAGAGCCTGCCCACCAGAGGGAGGGAGAACCACATACCAGCTACTGCAGGACAACCAGGCACGCTTGCATGCAAACTCGCCTTTTTCTTTTTCACTTCAAAGAGAGTTTTCTACCATTTAAAATGGTCAAAATTCAAAGCAGAAAAAGCTGGACATAGGGAGGGAGGGAGAGGTGAGGAAAGAAGGAAGAAAGGTTCTATGCATTCTTCAGTCAGGATGAATGAGAATATATTGTGGCTACACGTGGAACATCTCTGACCTGTCCTACAACTTCTGCTCTTATGGACCATGCTGTCCCAGAGAAAACACAACGTGAAAGTGCTTTCTGTTCGTCTCAGGCTCCATGAGCCCTCTTACCTGTAGAGAGAAACCACAAGTGCTGAGGAGGACTTTGGGGCTGCCTGTGCACTTCTCACGAACACTGTCCAGGTCAGCGGAATAATGTCATACTCTGCCTTGAAGGCTTCTGAAGTCAAGCTGCATTCTCTCTGCTGAGAGAATCATTCTTATCAAAATAGCCAGATAACTGCCACAAGATAATTATGATCTGTCATCATTACTGTTGGTGTCTGCCAGCGACTTACGGGGAAGAATACAGCTTGATTTTCAAAGCCTAACCCTGAAGAAGCAAGACAACCAAAACTTGTTTTAATGAGTTAAAATGAACCAGCTTGACATGGAAGTCACAAAGGAAAAAAATCTCAAAGAGAGAAAACTATACCCAATCGGCGCCAACTTAGCATTTCTCAAATGTAAGTTACAAGCTCAAAATGCAGGACAAATATCTTTCAAAAATCAGAAAGCCAGGCCAAAATTCACGGCTGAAGACGAATTCTGGCCAAGTCTCTAAGAGAGGGAGAATTCTTGCCTCTATTGTTCCTTTGGGTCAAGGAGGCAGAATCTTTTGGGTACTCCGTAATATACAGATGGACCAGGAGAGACCAAACAAAGCTCCTATTTGCAGAATGAATAATTAAAAGCACCCACCTCTGGTTCTGCAGATTTCTGGTTCAGGTGGTTAAATTCCAAGGCAATAGAGAGGCCCGTACTTTTTATGAACACTCCTGTGCAACTCCGGCCTCTAGGCCAATGTGACTGGACGCACCGTAGACCATGGCTCAGGAAAAGCCAACTGAGTAAGCATCTAATACCAAAAAACACTTCAAACCAATGTTGGTAACACTTAATCTAAATGTATTTTACTTTCTTCTAAACTAACTCCATATCTTCCCTATGGAGATTCAATTTTGAAAATCTGAAATAAATGAAGGTCCTCATTTTAAAAAAGTAAGCTGTAGCCAACAGAAGAAATATGTCTACATTACCATGAAAGCAAGTATTTTTCAGACAGAATCCTTTAATAATTCAGAAATGTATATCTCACCAATGCATTTTATAAAAACGGTATCATCTCAAAGGTATGAGGAAAGATGCATGTACTCTTTCTGACTCATTTGCTAAAACATTTTCTGTCCATTTCGTTACCATCACCATACTCTACAATCTTCTACAGTGGCTTTGTTCAGAACATCTGAATTTGTATAAGAAATCCTGAAGATGAACCAAGTGGAAAGAACACAAGAAAGAGCTAGATATGTCTAACGTACAACTTGCTTCTTTTCCTCAAACACTTCTTCTGCCCAAACTGTTAAGATGTTTATAAAATTCCTGGAATTACCTTCTGAGGAAATAAGACAGCCAATAGCTCCATTGCTTCCTAGAGCATAAAGGACTACAGTAACGTCTTCCATCTGTAAATAAATGGAAGGCAGATTCTATAACAAATAAGCTGAAGATTATATTTGATGGCATAGTTTTATTATTTTTACTAGTGGCAGGAAGGTGACCTTAATACATGAACTCTTTCTCCTTTGTTGGAATCTGCAAATAGCACCCTACTGTATGCAAAATGTTGGTTCAGTAAGAGACATTTTTGTGGTACTTTAAAAGGTTGGTTTTGCTATTTTTCTTGAATAAACTAAGTCTTTTTTTACCTAATCTATTTTTCATTTCAATTGTTAATTTGCTGAGCAAACACTTTTTATCTATTTTATAGGTGTTAAATTAAATCTCAGCCATGGCTCCCTCTTTACCCTGTCAAAAATCCTACTTAAAAAAAAAAAAAAATCCTACTTGAATACAGATGTGCACACCAGACACAGCAAGTATAAGGCTTATTGTAAATCAAATGGTTATGATATTTACCACACACACACCCGGATAATTTAACTCAATGCCCACTATGTGCTGTTGGCCTGCTACGAATACTCCACATGCATATTCCAGGGGTCCCCCTTTCGGCTCTTTGTAGCTTCCCTTAAGGACTAGGTTAGCAAGATGAGAGCAGCAGCATTTGACAAGATCAGATATTCCTGATACCAAATAATGACAAAAGAACTTCTTACACCTTCAGAGAATGTTTTACTAGAGAATTTCAAAGCACTCCCTATTATCTCACTTTCTGTAACTGGACAAACACAACACAATTATGAAACTGGATGGCAACAAATCTCAAACAGGCTGAACCAAAGGTGGAAACTCAGGGTTATTAGTGCTTCTAAGACTCACAATTTATCCTCATTGGAAAACACGCCCTATGCAACGTGAAAAGTAAAAAGAAAGTTTCATATAACACATGATTTTAAACCAAGCAGTCTCAGTGGTTAAAAATAAACAAGAAATTTGTTAATATCCATCTTAGCATTTAATATATGCAAAAATGTGAATTATTTAATAAACAAGCTAAAACATGTTCACTGTTTTTGGATTTGAAAATGTGCTGTCAATTTGAAATCACACGTTTGATCTGTATCAGGAGACAAACCATCCTGCCTGATCGAGCCTGCATGTGGCAGAGTGAGCCCTGCCCCCTCACCACTCTACCCACCCCCACAAAGAAGAGTCCAACCACAGCACAGCCAATATAATGATGAGACATATCAAATGCAAACATTTTTTTCCCTTTAAAGTATTCTCTAAATTTGGCCAAACTCAGTATTTAATACGAAAACCCTGCCTCACAGCAGTGATGCCTGCCGCCTTATCAGATCACTCACAACAAAGACAATCTAGAAAGAGGCTGTTCCCTCTTTCAACTCAAAGGTTAGAACTGAAGTAAAGGCAGTTAGAGCAAAAGGAAACACACAAACACATCCTCAAACACACCCACGCAAATTGTGGCAACTTTCACATCTGACAACAACTGAATTTCATTCCAAGCAGGTTTTATTGACAGCTTTGCTATTTAAAAAATTCAAGTAAAATGCTCAAGTAAGGATGTTTCAATGCAAGAGGAAAACAGCAGCTACAATCTTAAAATTTTACTCCATAATGGAATCAAGACCGACTCTGGCTGGTGGAGACCAGGTGGCAGGGACAGGCAGGTCCCATCCTCCCAAACCTGCACTGCCGAGAACCACAAGCTGCAGGCACTGCTAAGCGTATCTGATCTCCACCATAAACTTAAGGTGTGATGATTTTCCCTTTTCCTCTGAGAGATCAGTTGGAGAGGACATGATGCAGGAATAACAGTTTTACATTCTGGGTGAGAAAGTGCTATGACCGCACAGATTTGCTTAAAAAATTTGATTATGGCAAGCTTCAGGTAAAAATCATTTTTAAAGGGTCAATTTTTCATTTACATATAACCAATACATCTTATTTACATATATATGACCCAATTTTCATTCAGCTTTCTTTATATGAAGTCTACATTTTAACTGGTATGTAACCGTTATATACTATCTTTAGAGAAAGACTAAATATCCTCTTATTCACAGGCAGTTCTGATGATAACAGTTTGTTTCCACATTGAAAAGTGAATATCGTTAAAACCTCAAATAACAAAAAAGATGAAGACCTACTGTTAAATCTGTGTAGGGCCGCACCAGCTATTCAAGAAGTCAGCAGCTATCTAAACACAAAGCAAGGATGACTGAAGACATGGACCACTGCTTAACGCTGCTACTGACGTGAAATTCTTATACTGGGTTCATTTTTTCTTTTCAAAAAACACTGATTTTTCTAGTGATGTTCAACTTTAAAAAGTTATCTTAGTTCTTTAACCCTCAGAGAACTGCTATATTTAGGCTGCTAACCAAAAAAATAATCAAGAGCATGTACCTTTGTCCAGTCCCCAAGGGTTAAAGTGCAGGAACTGTCTATAACCTGGTATATAAGGCACCCTATTCCACTTTTTTCTTAAAAGAAACCTTTCCTTTGGTTTCTTGCAGTTTTTCAGTGAGTCTGTCCTTTGTCTCCTCCATCTTCTCTGTGAGGAGCTCCTTTGTCTCCTCCATCCTGTCCTGCAGATACTCCTTTACAGGAGGCGGCGTCGACATGTAGCCGCGGCTGCGCAGATACTTGACAGTGAAGGAGGTCCCCCCCAGGGTCACAGTGTACCGCGCGGGCGTTGCAATCTGGGAAAATGAAATGGGCAGATCAGTACTGATTACAACTGTTGTCTAAAGCAAAAACAGTGTGAAGTTAAAATTCTTGTTAATAACCAAACTATCAATTACTTTATTGCTTCATAAGGCTGTTACATCCTATATGGTTTTCCCTCCTAACATTCCGTATTTGTCACCTAGACACTGACCCAGGATTAGAGAACATTCACAGGGGCAGCACCAAAGTTCTGTACCCATGTGCTAGTGAACCTGGGGGGCAGACTCACTGAGAACCAGAGGGAGGGCTCAGGACCCTCCCTATAACAAAGGCACATGTGTTTCCACTCCCCAGAAACCCTGCCGACCTGCACACACTATTCATCTAAACCGGAACCAAACTGAGGGGCAAGCACGGGCCAAATGTTTGTTCTTCACTGAGTTTAGCTTAGTCTCACTTCCAAATCTCTTTTCTTTGGCTTTTCCAAGCTTTATGCTACTTTCTCATTACAGTCCATGCTGCGCTTGGCATCCCAACCAGGAACTTCCATGAGGCCAAAAAGTGGTAAAATGGCACACATATATATAGGAGACATGTACACATGTCAACTGACCAGGGGTTTAAGGTCCCAAACTAACTAGTAGATGAACTGGTACAAAGGGAGAATTGTAAGAGCAGAGGCTGTATCACATTCTGAGGCAAGAAACCTCAGTGTCTGCTGCTCTACCTGAGAAACCAGGTTACAGAAACCAAACACCCAGGTGGACCCTCCACACCTCCTTCCTTGCACAGGAACATGAGCAAAGCCCCTGCTGACACCAGCCCACCTGCGTGCCAGCCTTGTGTTTCAATTCCAAGCAGGCCAACAGGCACTGAGCACTGATGTGCCTCCAGAGCACAGCACAGGCACAGTGGAAATACAAAGAAAGAAGACATAACTCTAAATTCCTAGGAGCTCATGATCAAAGACAACAGACATTAAAAAAAGACCTAACACACAGACTGTGAAATGAGAGCATGGGATAAGGAACAGTTATAATTAGGGAAATGGTTTCAACCATCATGACAGTTGCATTAAGGTTAAATTATATACACTGTAACTAAAAACTTGATAATTTATTAATTAAATAAGTTTTAATGTTGAAAAACTCAGCAATTAAGCTTTAGCCCTCTGGTCAAAATTATCATATAAGAAATCTCCCAATATTTCAGAGGATTTTAACGAGGATGACAGAACAAAACAACATTATTTTTGAGTACTACTATAAACCCATAATTCAAAGTATTTTCATAACAGTAGTAAAATAACATCTAGTTTCCCAATCTCTTCTACCTGTTTTCTTAGGATAAAGCTACATAGAACCTAATTTTTTGTCAGTTGAGAAAAATTAGATTAATATAGCTAAATTCCACAATTTACAATAATGAGTCTTCTCTTCCAAAATAAAGACCCATAAGTGTAAAAACTATCTATTTACAAAGATGTCATTGTCTGAATCCAGACAACTGTAAAGACAATGAACTCCAAAATGAAACATACATTACACCAACAACTAAGTCTAAGGTTTATCACATAAAACAATTTGATTAAACTTTACTATTTTACTTTTTAGAAAGATGAACTATTATAAACAGTAAAATAAATGCTAAATTTCACTAACATGTCAGGTGGCATGTGGATCTCTGAATAAGGAAAATTAATGTACTATCAATAGGAGAAATGTCACAGAGACAACCTGTTCATTAGAAATTCAGAAGTCTCACTTTGTCTCATCACAGCAGGTTATGAAAAACCTACCTATTCTTAAGGCAATTCTTCCTAAACCATCATTTTATTTACCCTTAAAAATTTTAGTTTACTTTTAATCATTAGACATGTAAGAGATGAAACACGGTATTTTAAGTTACAAAAGGTAACCCTGGGAGCAAGCACAGAGTGGTACAGAGGTTCAGTGTGAGGAGCCATCTACCCACAACAGTACCTACCTTAAACAGGGCATATGCTGTTAGCGCATTTCCACTCTGGGAATTTTTCAGAATGTTTACTACGCTGTCAGGTAACCCAATAAGTTCTAGAAAAGGAACGACATTCACTCCTCTAAGAAAGAAACAGAAGGTAATTTATATATACATATAGATAAACTTTTAGGGATAAATATTTTCAAAAGATTATCTGAAAACATCAAAACCAAATTCTGTTTAAAAGTCAATCCTGCACCACCAAGCACTCTAATTTCACTCTAAAGGAACAACATGTGCATGAATACCAGCGTCCTGCTGTCTCACTGTTCATCATAGCTTCTGTTCATGGAAATCCCTAATTAGCACACTGACAAAAATATAATCATTTATCAGAGAAAAATTAATAGCATTAAGTAACCTAAGAGAAATGATCAGAAATGATTCTAATCATTCTCCTGATCTTTTAATCTTTAGTTCCTTAGAATGATCCAACTCAAAGTTTAAGATCTAATATTTTTTACCTCTAAAATTACATGTCAAACTATACTATCATAAAAACAAGTGATATTATAACACCACTTACTGTATTATGCAAAAAGTAAATGATTCTATGGGTTTCATGAAAACTTCAATTATTCTAAAAAGATGCTTCTATTCTATTATCAGACTTAAAAGGCAGGTAAAGAAGCAATTACCATGAATTGCAACAAATTTCTGGAGGGAGGGAAAGAAGGCAGAAAAAGTCTCTAATCCAACTGGTAAGCCCTAATTTCTTTTTAGTTTCCCTGAGTGTCAAGTTTGCCACGCCAGAACACTCGTGCTCTCCCACTCTCTCCCTCACTGCCTGTAGTTTTGCAGACTTTGTGAGCCTTCACCTCAAATCACAAGGTTCTTGTTCTGTGCTTCTCCTTCATAAACATAATATAATCATCACAGCCAGGAAACTTAACATGTAGGACAGTATATAGTTAATACAACAGTACGTTATTTAATGTTAAAATTCCCTGAATTGGGGCTTCCCTGGTGGCGCAGTGGATGAGAGTCCGCCTGCTGATGTAGGGGACATGGGTTCGTGCCCTGGTCCGGGAGGATCCCACGTGCCGTGGAGCGGCTGGGCCCGTGAGCCATGGCCGCTGAGCCTGCATGTCTGGAGCCTGTGCTCCGCAACAGGAGAGGCCACAGCAGTGAGAGGCCTGTGTACCGCAAAAAAAAAAAAAAAAAAAATTCCCTGAATTGTCCGGTGAGTCCCTTGTCACTATCTTGTCATGTCTTCCAGTTCTTCTCCAGAAGCGCTGCTCAGCACTTTCTGTTGAGGAGGAAGGCAGGACGTCTTTTTTGATGCTGAGATTTTTGAAGCTCCCAGGCCAGCTTTGTGGTAGAACAGCCTTTCATTTGGATTTGTCTGATTGTTTCCTCATGATTAAATTTGGGGTAAATGTTTTCAGACAGGAAAGCTGCAGAACTGATTCTATGTCCATCTCAGAGCATCACAACAGGAGCCATACACTCAGTCTGTCCTGTGAATTTGACGTGGTGTTTGACTTGTGGTGTGAGTGTGACTTGTGGTTAAGGTCAGGTCCACAGGTTGCTCCTCTGTACAAGTACTCTTTCTCTTTGTAATTAAGAAAGGTAACAGCCTGGTTCCATTATTATTACAGTAGTAGTAATCTCCTAGTTTAGTTTTAATGTTAAAAAATAATTTGCTTAACTGGGGAAAAGTTGTCCCTCTCTGATTTCACTATACTAGGAGATCAGAGACTAATCTCAATAGATACGGATGATCATCACCAGGAATTACTGGCCATCTATACAAGAGGAAACCAGATAACTGAAGGAAACTTTAAAGAGTTAGATTTAAAAATCAACTACAAGTCCAATCCAGTTTCTTTTATCTCCACACTCATTTCCTTTTCAAATCTCTTAAACAACAGAACCCCACTGAAGCAGGACAGTACTACAAAGATTTAGGGATTCTGTGGATCTAATCAAGTCACTAGGTACAATAACATCCCACCATAACATGCTAATCATCTCTTCTGGTACCCGTACAATTACCAAATTATTTCATTAATCATTTCTTAGTTCAGACTAAGCCCAGTATGTAAAATCTACATATTTAACGGCAATCATGCAGGGGGGAAAAAAGACAAACATGTGGCTAAATATAAGACAAAACTGAGTGATTTTAAAACACAAAAAACAACTGGGACTTCCCTGGTGGTCCAGTGGTAAAGAATCTGCCTTACAACGCGGGGCATGCGGGTTCGATCCCTGGTCAGGGAACTAGGATCCCACATGCCACGGGGCAACTAAGCCCACGTGCCACAACTACTGAGCTCGTGCGCCTCAATGTGTAGCCCACGTGCCACAACTACTGAGCTCGTGCGCCTCAATGTGTAGCCCACGTACCACAAACTACAGAGCCCACACGCTCTGGAACCTGTGTGCCACAAACTACAGAGCCCACGTGCCCTGGAACCCGCACACCACACCTAAAGAGAAAACCCGCAGGCCACAACTAGAGAGAAGCCCAAGCACAACTAGAGAGGAGCCCACATACCACAACGAAGAGCACTCGCGCCGCAACGAAAGATCCCGCATGCCTCAACAAAGATCCCACGTGCTGCAACTAAGACCCAACACAACCAAAAATAAATAAATAAATGAATAATAAATCTTAAAAAAAACTATCATAGGGCTTCCCTGGTGGCGCAGTGGTTGAGAGTCCGCCTGCTGATGCAGGGGACACGGGTTCATGCCCTGGTCTGGGAAGATCCCACATGCCGCGGAGCGGCTGGGCCCACGAGCCATGGCCGCTGAGCCTGCGCATCCAGAGGCTGTGCTCCGCAACGGGAGAGGCCACAACAGTGAGAGGCCCATGTACCGCCAAAAAAAAAAAAAAAAAAAAACTATCATAAAAACAAACAATAATGACCAAGATATCTTGCACAAGTATCCTGTGTAAAATAAAGACGCAACCACCTGGTCCCACTTTTTTTCTAATCTATTGATTTGATGACTTAACTTTTAAAAAATAACTTTCATTTCCTTTGGAATTACTAAATATGAAGCATTAATGAGGGTCTGATCCAAACAGTAATATCCACTCTTGTCACAAAAGTTCCCTCAGCCTGACAGAAACCTGTGCTTCACAAACCACCAGCTTTATGGATGTTCCAAATGATGCAAAAGTATATCCACAGTCTGGATGAAGTGCAGTGAAAACCAGTCAGGACTGTGCCTCAAAATGGATCTGTAACTTTAGAAACTTGAGGCCCAAATACAAGGCATCTAAACGTAGAGACAAAACCATCATCAAAGAGCTTCATTTGGGCTTCCCTGGTGGCGCAGTGCTTGAGAGTCCGCCTGCCGATGCA